ACTAGGTCTCTCCATTGAAAAATTGATATAATATCATAATCCCAGGCTTAACTGGGACGGAATTCGCAAATTGTATTGAAGGATTTTTGAATGTTTGAGACTGAATATTTTTTTTTGGTAATTCACTCAAAACTGAAATGACTCCGAGGAAAATTGATATCTATAATATAATATTTCAAATAAAATCTACTTGTAGTATAGGATCCGAAACGATATCGTCTTCTGCTCATTCGTTCACCAGATGAAATATATTTTTGGAACAGACAAATACATCCTGATTGTATTGCAAATAATGTTAATGAAAATCTCTGATTTAAAAAGGATTAATATTTTTTATTACCATGTTTCAGACTTAGTAATTGGTTCCATGAAAAATTTCGTTGGAACAGACAAATACATCCTGATTGTATTGCAAATAATGTTAATGAAAATCCCTGATTTAAAAAGGATTATTATTTTTTATTACCATGTTTCAGACTTAGTAATTGGTTCCATGAAAAATTTCGATATTTGCAGTAATTTCAGATACAAAAATAAAATTGGACATTACTATATTCGTCGTAATTTCTTTGTACAATTGAAGCTACAGAAAAAAATTAACAAACTGTTTCGTGAATTTTTTTGGAGAGGAATAAAAAAGGGCCTATAAACTGTTTTGTCATTGAGATTTTTTGAAAAACACCTAGGTGTTAAACACCGATTTGGTGTTTATTGGTTTACCAAATAAATGTTTAGGTGGCATTGCCTACTTGTTTCTGTTCATGCATCAGTTTTCCAATCGAAATATGTATAACAATAATAATAATTTATCAGAAAGATACCAAAATATCCGTCAAAATAATGTGTTACAATTTTTTATTTACCCAAAATTCATGAACAATTCTGTCGTATTTCCGTTTGTCTGTGCTCACGGCATAATCGCTCTAACTTTCCGAAAAAATGCTCGCGAATTACTGCAGATATCAAAATCTTAAAGAGTTTCATGAAAATTATGACCATATTTTCACATGTCAAAAACATTTATATTAAGGACAGTCATGAACACATTTCTATAGGTAATACATTCAAGATGTAGTCGTCTAAGTTTGAAAATCAATAAAAAATGTTTCACCTGGTAGGTGGGCAAAAGACAATTTTTCTTCGGATCTTAGACTAGTGGAAAAAATTAAATAAAAAAAAGAAAAAACTTCAAGGAAACTGAATTTCTCCCAGACAGAGTTAACAACTGCGACTTCTTGTTATAGACCGTAACACTGAATCTTTGAAAAAAGTATCAGGTTTTTACATGTTTGCGGGAAAAAATAAGTTATATATTGAGAAATTTCAGGTGGGTATCGATTTGAACTCCTAGTTTTAACATTCATTTCAGTTCTCTGCCTTCAGCGTCAATCCAAAAACGAACCTCCTCGAATCTGTCACATTAAATGGAAAGACTCTGGGAATCACACAAAATTTCAATTGCTATCACAGCGACTACATGTATGATGACAGTGTCTTGACAGGTTCTGGAGCATACTTGTTTGTACCGAATGATACACGTTCCTTTCCTTTGGGCGATGTTTCAGTGGTACGATCATTTTCCGGAAACCATGTCGAAGAAATCCATCAAATGTGGAAAAGTAAAGTGGTAGACATTCATCAAAGCATCAGATGGTATAAGAACGAAGAGTACATAGAGTTAGACTGGATAATAGGAAATATCAAAGTGTAAGTATATTCATTATAACTATCTAGATCAGTTTTTTCATAAAATTAATGAAAGTAAAGTCTCCCCTCTCCTAATAACTTTTGGATAAGGCTAGATATCAAGGTCGGACAAAATTTACGTGAAAAGTCATAATTTTCAGCACTTCAGTACTTTTTGATAAGAAAGGCCGTTACCAACATTTTGTTAGTAGGAAAAAGGGTTCTTATTCTACCTCGTTTGAAAACTATTTTAATTTTCTATCTTGTTCCTGAGTAGGATTAGCGATTTTATATTTGTTTTGAGAATCTACGAACAAACAAGAAATTATCATAATGTTGTAAATCTTGTAAATCATGCCCGAAAGGAAATAACGCCGGCCGCCACTGGTAACCATAAACCAAACGTGACGTAGCTGATAGCGTGGGAAAATCCAATGTTACCTGTCGCTCAAGAAGTAGCAAGGAACGCTACCGATGTCGATAGAACTTCGGCGAAAATTCTACGATGTTCCATTGCGATATTTAAACTCTGGCTGCAAGCGTATTCAGTCGGCTTAGACAACGGACAGATAACGCGCAACCCTTGGCCCCGACATCGCCTGAGGAAGTGAAGGACATTCTGAGACGTCTTGCCACTCGGAAAGCACCAGGCCCAGACAATATAACAAATCGAGCACTGAAAGTGCTGCCGCGAAAGGGTATAGCAGCCATAACCAACATCATAAATGCTATACTCAGATTGCAACACTTCCCGTACCCGTTCAAAGAGGCAACGGTAATCCACATACCAAAGCCCAAGAAGAACCACCTGTTTCCAGCGAACCACCGGCCAATTAGCTTACTGCCATCCGTAAGCAAAGTGGCGGAGCGTGTCATCCTGAAGAGATTGGAAGAACAAACTAGAGAGTTAGGGATCCTCTCCGACGAACGATTCGGTTTTAGATCAGAACACTCAACAGAGCTACAAGTCCTGAGGGTAGTGGACTTTGCGACAGAAGGCTTCAACCTTGGCAAAGGATACAACACCGGAGCTATCTTCTTAGACGGCTCCAAGGCGTTTGACAGAGTTTGGCATGACGGGCTGCAAAGTAGGAGACGAATTATCAACAGTTCGACTACTGAAGGCAGGAGCCCCGCAAGGTGCAGTCCTTTCGCCACACCTCTACTCCGTATACACGGCAGACACGTCCAAGCCAGAAAACAACTTTAACAAGTTGGCGCTCTACGCGGACGACACGGCCCTGCTGGCGAGATCTACGAGTCAAGCACACGTTACGAGATACAACAAGGAGTGGGCTAACCTGTGGAAGATCAGTATCAACCATGACAAGAGTCAGGCGATACTGTTCACTCGCAGGTTCGTACAACCGGAAGGCAACGTCACCTTCAACGGACAAGATATTCCGTGGACAAACAAAGCGACATACCTTGGGGTCATCCTAGATAAGAAACTAACATTCCAGGCCCACGTACAGCAGATAATAGGAATGGCCAGACAGGCCAGACGACGCCTGGCGCCGATCATAGGATGAAGCAGTAACATGGCATTGAAAGTCAAGTTACTAATGATCAGAACGATTCTAATGATAATAATACTGTATGCATGCACTGCCTGGGGCCAGTGTGCGCAGACATACAGAAAGAAGATCCAATCGTTTATGAATGCGAGCGTAAGGGCCGCTGAAAACGCACCTTATTATATACCCAATAGATTTATATACAGAGACTTAGACCTGGACACGCAATATGTGGACGTGTATATGAGAGAACATGCAGAAAGCACGTTCGATAGAATCAGATCTCACTAAAATCCAGTGTTCCGCGATCTACACGATGCGTTAAATATGGATGACCCCAGATTCCGAGAAAGGGACAAACATCCCAGGCCGACTAAACAGAATAACAGACCGTCCCCGTTAGTTGACGTCAGGCGACTTAGGTAAGTATAACACTAACCATATACACTCTCTTCCAGGTAGGTTCAGAGAAGAACACTTCGACCGCGATCGCGACTCTAAAAATTTTTCTTGGATGCACTGAGAAACGCTCGATGCATTAACACAAAGCCGCCGGTTAGTTTTTGGGGGCCCCCATGCTTAAATTCAGTTAGGAATAGTCAGATAAAACAACGATTCGATAATAAAGTAAAAGCACCTAAAGGCTGACTTTCGACCAAAAGAGGTCAGATGTCAATCTTACTGAAGTGCCCATCAGCAAGTTGAGGACCGCTCGGAGAGCGGGGGTAGATGGAGTGGGGTAGTAGGTTCTCCTCGCTAAATAGCTGGGGGGGGAAGCTTCTACTTCAGGGCACTCAACCCGGGAGGAGGCATGGGGGGGTATTCAGTCAGTCAAGTACACATTGAAGTGGACGTAACAGTGCGGTACGCAAAGTGATCTAGTAAGGCGATAGACATTCAAATAATAGTTGAAATTTTTAGTTGAAGTGTTTGTTGTATTTCAAGCGAAATAAAGTTAAGTTTGATTATTCATTGTAGTCAATTATTGGTGAACTCACGGGGAAAAACGTATAGCAATAATTTCGAATCTCACTCTAATTCAGTCCAATATATGTCTGAGAACAAATTCCTTTCTTGCATTTTGAAATATTCCTGGGGTATTTTTGTTGCAAGTACCTTTTTTCAAATCCATGAGTCAAATCTGGCGGCGGCATTTCAAATGATCCAACAGGACATTTTTGAGGGACCAAACTTGCTTATCCTACGATTTGCCTATCTACCGGTTTCGATAATCGTCAGCAAGCCACTTTTAGATCAGCTTTAATGAGGATGTACCTCATCTTAATGAAACGTAACATCATTTCGGGATTATCAATTATCCCAACCCGTAGACAGGCAAACGTGATATCTCAGAATGTCCCACTAGATCATCTGATGTGACACTTCTAGAGGTTTTCGTGGAATACGTGATATTTAAGTGTACGACTCATAGAAACATACCATTTCAGATCTTGTGTTTAGAAGAAATCATCCAGGAACATTTCATAATGAAGAAATAAATTTGTACACAGATTTTTTTATTGTCAGGAACTGAATGGTGAACATTTTGAATATGTATTGTAATGCAGTGAATTTTGAATATCATATTTGAAATTATGATATTCATCGTATCTTTGCAGGTTTTTGGAAATATAAGTCTGTTAACAAGGTGTCAATTCAAAAAAATGTTAGTGGAAACCTCTCGGTAACAAGTAACACTATTATAGTTTTTACAAAAAGTACTAAATCTGAAATATTTTTACATAAACTTTATCGGATGCTAAAATCTGTTTCCGTCTTCAGAATTGAAAGAAATCTAATGATAGATCGCAAGGAGGGTCTAGTTTGGGCAAAAATAATTTGGAGTTAATGGTGAGTTTCGAAAATACAATCTGCAATGCAATCTGTTAGAATGAGGAATAAGAGAATTTGAAATGGAGGAATATATTTGAAAGTTTCTCACAAGCATTTCAAATTTCTTGATTGCCAATAACTTTCATTCTGAAAATGTGTGTTTCTCTTTTCTCTACGTATATTTTGCCTGACTTCAACTTGCTAGTCATCTTTAACATGTATTTTATTAATCGATTACATTTTTTCAAGGTCCACAGACGAGTTTTATTCGATGACAATAAAGGTGTCAATGAGTATTTGAATGAAGTAGAGTTTGGGAAAGGAGTCTATGCTAGAGGGTCCCACTATCTGATAGTGGGAAATGCCAAAAAGCCTAACTTGAATGGTAAGACAAAAAGTTCAGGATGAATTGAACAAAGTCTCACTAGGATTTAGTTGAATATTTTTACGTTGCCTTATGATTAGCACTGATGTTTTTTACTTAAGGTTTGGTATCTTTACAGTTCGTTGGATCAGTGAAATCGAAGTAGGAAACTTTTGTTTCTAACTTTTTTCAATCATCAGGGTTTAAAGTAACTTTCAATTGTTTTTGAAAAATTTAAATCGAAATAAATATATTACATTAAGAAATATATGGAAGTTTGATGAAGAATTCAGAATAATAATTAAAAACAAAATAAGCTCAAAACAATAACGATCGAAAAATACTAGTATTATTGTGGAAAAAGCGTGGGCGCTAGATTATCAAGGAGGTTACGTACAGCGCCATCTGCCCGCGAATAGATCAAGCAATGATACCGATAATTCTGTCAATACAGATCAAGAGCCTGAAAGTTACGAACAAACAAATATACATACAAACAAACATACATCCATACATACATACAGGTGAAGCTAAAAAGCGTGTGAATAAAAAACGATTTGTATATTCACTAACGAGCAAACAATTTATGGATCATGATGTCAACCTTATGATAGTTTTAGTGCATGAGTACTAGTATTTTCAATTCACAATTTCATGTTGTTGAATAAATGCTTTATTTAATCAATACGACACTTATACGTGGGAATATAATTTCTCAGAGTTATTGCATTTTCTTTTGTTATAATAGGAGTGTTTTTCAAAATATTTTAAGTGGATAATTGTAATATTTGTTTGAAGGTGATTGACAATGTTTCATGATGAATTTCACTAGTTCGGACTTCCATTGTCTACTATATAAAATGATCTGAAATCCCTGAAACAACTAAAAAAGAAGAATCAAAAATAATAGCTGAAAATAACAATTATATTAAGCAAAATAAACCTGAAATGAAATAACAGTGAAATAAAATACAAGTAAAATTGAACAATTGAACAAAAATAAATAAAAATAAAGAAATGAGAAAAGAAAATAAAAAAATAAAAGGTTGAGAGATTCCAAGTCACGTTAGTTCACGACGTTTCGATTGTTAGTATCTACAATCGTAATATATTACCTAACATTCACACATAATGGGAAATCAGATGCAATCCAGTTATTATTTGTCGGTCGATTAAGTTCACCTTCGATTTCAAATCTATTTAACTGATATTAATAAGTTTTTCTTTAGGTAAATCAACAGCAGCTCAAGAACGCATATTAGCGCAGAAGAAATTGGTTCAGCCTTGGATAGGACTTGCCCCAATTACTGAGTCGTTTGATGAACTTACAGAAACATCAAAACTGATGGTAACACAAACACAGTTTACTGAATAAACATGCTCAAGTTGTATCTTTTCAGTATTCTGAATTAGCTGGGTTGCCGGATAATATTAATATTTTAACATTTGAACCGTGGAAGGGTAATACGTATCTTTTACGCTTAGAACATATCATGGAGAAAAATGAAGACGCGCAGCTATCTGACAAAGTTATTTTGGAAAACATTCAGGTACGAAACACATATCTATTTATTTTCATTGGAATAATATACAGTGGGGACGTAAAAAAATCCCTCTCACTCTTAAATTTTGAACAGTACAACATTTTTATATGTAAGGGCCGGGGTTCTCCATATTTTCATATGATAGTTATTTTAATTCTATTAAATTTTCAAAACTAGTTCAGTTTTTGGAAACAGACCAGCCGTTATCAATGGTTTGATTTTCTTCGAAAATGGATTGACTTAGGTTACCATATCAGCTGATCTAAAACGATGGTTGCCGAGAAATAAGCACAACAAATGTCACAAGGCGTTTTATTTTAATTTTTCGTACATCTCTACTTCGATTTGATTCGGCCGACTGGTTATCAACCACATCAAATACCGATATCGTACTGTCATCGCCCTCTGGTGGTCAGGTTAGGTACTATAAATTTCAGGATACACTAAAATAGTACTAATGAGCTTCTATGGGCTTTGTATTATTTGGTATAGTCCATTATTATACATTCGATACAAGAAGTATGTTGTCTACTTGACTTTGTCTTAGCTTCCATGTTGTGTACTAACGGTTCAATCTCACAACATTATTACGATATACCTACCAATTTATTCCACAAATAAAGGCCGGAACACACTTCTTCATACACCTCTCCGATCCGACTCCGGTTTGATTTAGCCCCAAAAGCGGATCGGTGCAGGATCGCCAGTGGGTAATGGCACTTGTCATACATGCTTCCCACTTCTTTCCGATTTACCGCTCCGGCTTGATACACTTGCCACTCCCGCCAGTGTCGATTCAAACAATGTCTCGGAAGATCCTCTAAGCAAATTGTTCAAGAATTTCAGCAATTGCGATTTAGCCATTATGGCACTCTGTTTGGAAGAAGAAGATGAAGAAAATCGGAGAGCTCTCATAGAGAACAGCGGTAGAGCTCTTCAGTCTGGTTATACAGAACTGGATATTTTTTGACTTGTTCAATAAGCTCCTCCGGTTTTAATGACATTTTTCAAATTTACTTTAAAGAAAACAAAAACTCAAATATCATGCAAACTCCAAGCGATACCCGTCCCGCAGCTGGAGAACAAATAGGCTGCACTATCGGATCATGATCGAATGCATGATCGGAGTTGGGTGGGAGCGGGATTGGCCACGTATCGGAACGATGTGAACTACTCTATTCGGATTAAAGTACCATTTCCCTCTCAGACACCCGTCCGACTGTATGATGGGAGTCGGATCTGAAGGGTGTATGACAGGTGTGTTCCGGCCTTAAATGATCCGCTAGTATTAACTTACGAAGTTACTCTGGAAACATTTCAAAATGAAATAAATGAATTTTTGAACAGACCTCATCAGTGTCAGGAAGTGGATGAGAAGTTTTGTGGACATTTAATAAGATTAATTGAGTAGAGTTTTGATTTTTTAAATCACTTTAAATACTCAGGAACGGCTTCCCAAAAAATAATTCATACATTTGAATGTATTCAAATGTATGTATTAAATTCTGCGATAGATTTAGCAAATCAATTTGAATATACTTCTGGTATTCACGAAAGTTAATGTTTTATTTCAACCCGTTCAATTGATAGACTTGCTCTTTTTTAGAACATTTTTAAGCATTTCCGTATTGAAAAAATGGACGAAACGACACTTGCCGCAAACGTGCTTTTGAAGGATTTCAGAAGAAGTGAAGGATATAACTGGCAAATAGCAAATGCCTCAACTACTGCTAGGGTTGATTCGGAACAAGTTACTACTGGTTCTATATCTCTGAAACCCATGGAAATCAAAACTTTCATCGTGAGGTTAGAAAAGAAGAGTATAAATGACTTAGAATTCATGTAATTGTGCGTTCAATAAAATATTATAAAAAGTTACTGATGAAACAATTATTATATTATCATATTGATCCCTTGAATACGACCACGGTGAGAAAGAAACAAAGAAGAATTGCGATTGATATTCGAGGGACAATTGCCACAAGATGGCAGTACAAACATTCCAGGAAAACAGATAAAGTAGCAGATGACAATTTTAACAAAAATTATCTTAAAATACCTGTTGCGAAATATGGCTGATAATCGAAGACGAAACAATTTCACTCAATCAATCAATCAGCCATGTGATATTTGTGCGGGGTGGAGAATATAACGAAAATAAATGTTTGATTTCTGCACACAAAGTTTTTCCTCGAAATCATCTTTGGATATTTTTCGGTTTCACCAGTTATACTTTATCAAATTCTGCATTATTAGGTACCAAAATTAAGATTCATCGGCTTACTCATCAGTGGCGCTAATTATGAATTGAATTTTGAACAATTTTAACGATAATTCCATTGAAACCTGGAGTAAAACTAGACTTTTTTTTCGGATTTGTCGATGAATTTTGATTCAAAACCATACATAATTGACATTATATTGACCTATACCCTTACCTCAATGCCCTGGAGAGTTTATCGTAATTCATATTCGGTTTTGACTTCCTTTCTCCCCACCTCCTCGCCACTTCATCTGGATCGGTAAGTTTGAACTCTCCATTTGTACCTTCCCACGTGATACAGGCTGCATTCGATGAATCGCTTAGTAGTTCCAAAAGAAATTGCCACAATTGGATTTGTCCAGAACCTTAAACAAAACGAAACGAAAGTGGGTAAATTACATTTATTTTTCCAAATAAGTGTTTAATTGAAGTGTAGAAGATGACAGTGACATACTATTCCAAAACAAACTTATCAAAAAACGAAACCTTGAATTCTTGAAGGACCAACAGCTTCAAAAACATTATCAGATGATCCAAAAAATCTAAGAGACAGAGGTTCAGGGTAACACAATAAGAAACACTAGAAAGCAAAATAAATAACTATATTCTGTTTTCTAATTGCAATATAAATGTAAAACACTAACAGATTGCTCAAACGAAATTATGATTTGCCACAGTTTATAATACTTCACCCTTACACCCTATTTCTGTACCGCAAATGGGTCGCAAAAAAATATTTTAAGAATTTTTAGGGTCGTTTCATTACCTCCAGTGGCGTGCGTCTTAAAGTTTTCCATACTTTTTTTCTGCCTATCATTGGATACATACTTTGGTCTTCTTAACAAGGCTCCCATTATTTTGTCGAGGGTCGATATTTCTTCATTAAAATAAATTAATGTTCTTTTAATTACGAATTTGTAGTTTTCATCAACAGGTACAATTTTTCTTCCTGAAGATGATTTTGGTTATTTCACAGCTTCAGTTTTTCCCTCATTCTTGAATTTATATATCGATGATTTTGAAATTTCTGTCATTTGCAAACACATTTCCACCAGAGTTTCAGAAATATACGAATGTTTTTGCTGTAGAAAAGCATACGTTAAGAATAATAGTATTTTCGTTAACAGAAAAAGCACATTTGCTCATTTGTTTTACTGGCGAGAAACCTGAAGTAGCTATTTTAACTCACACACTTAGTATAATTTACTAACTGATCGAGAGGCAAGAGCTTTATCATTAATTTATAAAGTATCTAATTAAAGCACTATCAGATCGGATCAAATCATGAAGTCATCCTCTTTTCCAGAGAAAATTGAAAATATCTCAGGTATGCCTGGTTTAATCAGGTAAGCTGTACTCTAATGAATGACAAAAAATTAATAGGAAACATCATCATGAATATTAATATGCGCATCAATCATTTTTCTATGGCAAAAACTGATTGAGAACAATGATATGCTGGGTTTACTCGTCGCTAGCAAGTTAATTAATACAATCAAATCATGAATTTACAGGGTTCTTGCACAATAATAGGCCTTAATAAAGTTTATACAGTGCATTCCGTATAAAACGAGCCACCCTGAATAACTGTTGGTACAATGATTTGCAGGAAAAATAAAAAACACGTCAACTATAGTATACAGGGGGACACATTTTGACATATTCACATTTGATGTTACTTCCCCTATCGCATCCCCAGATCATAAGTTGAAAACGAGCTGAATGAACTTCTGTACAATCTGTTACCTAGGTTTCATAGATGTTTTTTGTGAAATTTAGTTCAAAAAAGTCTTATTTTGCCTAGTTAACTTTGAATTCGATATGCTCTTCATTTTGTATTTGCCTTATTCTACAATAACGATCATCTACTAGGAGAAGTTACAATTGGTGTTTCTATTTTTGTTAATTCTTGAAAAGCAATGGTTTATACGCTCCGAGAACGGAAATGGAAATAGTGCTAGAGCTGCCGCCCGTATGTTCAACGATAATCATCCAGGAAGAAATGTACGACACAAATACGTTTCGGAATAATTGAAAAAAATGTATGGAAACAGGATCTATTAGCAATAAAAAGCATATTATACTTGACCTTGTTATATCATTTTCAATTTTTTTGAATTTACCGATGTTTAAATAAATCCAGATACTGCTTCTGTAAATATTTATATTCATTATCGGTGTATTGTTGTAGAGTAACATGATTGAAAATCCTTTTTCTTTTTCATAAATAATTTTCAGTAAAGAATTTAGAGCAATTTTTAGAATTCGAGTCGAGAATATTATTAAAGGCGCTGCGCCATGCTGTGATGCAGTAACTTAGGACAGATTCAGCTTAACTGTAATATAGAGTTATTAGATTATTTTTGGATACGATGTCCCTCAGGTTGTAAAATTTATTCATTAGCAATAGTATTCTTTTGATCAAGTGATTAACATGTTCGTCCTACCTCATGTGTTGGTCAAGAAAATCGACGATGTCTTTGTTATTTCGGGGCATTGGCACTGTATAGTTGAGCAATCTGGTTTATGAATTTTAATTGTTTCTTTGTTGGGTTGATCGTTACATCTGAGGGAAAAGGTAATAAATTTTCTTTTTTGTATGTTAATACCCAATTTGTTATTATCTAGCCATAATCCAGTTTTCCTCAAATCTTGCTCAGCTGTGCAAATAGTGTCATTCCAGGTGTTGCCTTTGAAAATCAATGCAGTATCAGCATAACATATGATGTGATCTAGAAAATCATTAATGCAGCAAATATTGTTTATATATACAAAAAACAGTATTGGACCCAATACTGTACTTTGAGGCACACCAATAGATAGGATTGAGGGGTTTGGGCAGGAATTCCAGGTGACCCTTATCATGGGACCGTTTTTTATCTATTATAATTTGACTAGTGATAAATATTTGGATATGTTGGAAAATCGAATAATACCGTGCATCAATAGAGCAATTGAGGAGGATATAAATTAATTCGAAAACGAAATAGTTTTTCAGCAGAATGGTGCACCTCTTCATTATGCAGCTCCAGTGCGACAATTTGTGGATGATCATTTTCCTGGTCGCTGGATTTTCAGAAGATGTCCTAATACAGAATGGCCACCAATATCTCCGGATCTCAATCCTGTAGATTTCTTTCTATGAGGTAATTTGAAGTCAAAAGTGTTTGAGATAGAATCAACAACATTAGAAAATTTGAGGGAGAATATCATGAGGCATTGCAGAAAAATATCTCCCGAGATTCTCAATCATATGAGGACGGCAATGGAAGTTTGTTTGTACCATTCTATGGAAGTTGGTAGAAACGTTTATGAACATTTACTAAAGAAATACTTATATATATTTCAATAGATCATTGATGTACAAAAAAAAAAGGATTGCAGGCAAAATTATTCCCTGAAAACCAACAACGTTGTTTATGTAAGGAACATTTTTGAGAAAGGTGAAAAATGACGAAGAAAAACGATATGGTAAGTACTAACATCAAAGATTAGTTAGTAAATCTTCATGCCAGTTCGAGAAAATCCTTTGGATATGATATTTTTTCTTGTTTACTGTGTTGGTAATAGAAAATTTATTGAAGAAACAAAAAACATACTAATAAATGTTGAAGTATTAATACACAACAAGCACACGGGAATAAATCAATTTTTCTCTGGCAAAAACTGACTGTCAACAAAAAACAAGTCTACTAATTATTAACATGTCGATCAATATTGATAATGTAACCTGATATGCAAACATGATAATTAAACAAGTCAAAGACTCAATGAAGTTTCTGGATTTTTCAATAGATTGATATTTTCCGATAGAAAAATCAACCGCATTGATGGTAAGTGTATTAAAAAGATCGATGATTACTTGTAAAGAACGTTCTTTGAGAAAGTTGGAGAGACACAAACAAAAACAATTTGGCGTTGAAGGCTTCGGATATGATTTCATTTCCTTGTTAGTGTAGCTGAATTATTGTTATTATAATCAGAAGATCTGAATGCTTCTAGTAAAACTAAACAACACGAATAATAATGTTACGAGAATAAATACCTTTCCCTTTTGTCCTTTCACAAAAATTGACTATGAAGAATTATGTTTTGTTTCTACTTGTCATTAACATGGTAATGAATACTGATGGAAAGAACTGATAAATATACATGGTTATTAAACAATCCGAAGTCTTAATAACGTTCTGCGACATGTGTCCGAGACACCGGGTGGCTGTTGGAAAAAGGTAACCAAATCGCAGTCGGCGGAACAACATGCGTTTATTTCCTTCCGCCCACTTCGAATTTACAAGTTAAATGTCATTTAAAATTCTAATACGGCGTTTGACAAAAACATGATTACTGAATTATACCGTCACCGGTCTGTTTCTTGTAAAAACGCAAACAGGCGACGGACTACGCCGACATTTTACTTTGTTACCGTAATTAGTGGAAATTGGCGTGCCACTCGGACCGCGTTGTAATTTTGATTTGATATGACGCTTTCAGTTGGAAAAATGTAAATTTATTTCATTATACCTTTCTTTTATTAGCGTGCTTTGGAACACGAAATCACAAAGCCTGGAATTCAATTTTTTGGATGAAAGCGGGCGGAAAAATAATATTCTACAAATGGTTGGAGATATAAGCAGTTGTTTGGCTGATCGCTATTCACTAGAATAACGACCAGAAACGACCAGAGCACTTTCAGTTCAGTTTATGGCAATTATTGAGACTTATTGAAGGAAAAAAATAAAATTATTGAAATAATAATATTCGTGGAAGAGTTCTCGGCTTTCATCGTTCGAAGAGAGAATGAAAAACGAATTGAAGGAATCTCTCTCATATGTGAACTTCTTTGACGCAAAAATCAAATTTGAAAGGGAACGAGAGACCCAAGGAATAATTGCCTTCTTGAATGTACCAGCGAGAAAAGTGTGCTATAACATTGGGTCATAGAGTAAAAAGGAAACCAACATACACAAGCAGATGAAAACTTCAATCACCAACGACAAATGGAAGGAGTGATTAAAACGTTAATTGATAGAGTCTGGTTGTTTACATAAGAGTCAGTCTACTCGAGGAATTTAATCATCCGAATAATGCTTTCGAGGGAAATAAGTACAGCAAACCTGAGTGAGCGGGCAATGCGAACCTGGAAAGAATGCCAAGGNGATGGAAGGTCTTACGCTGTTGATGTGTTTCAGGAAGGCGTCTAGTTCAGTATTCCCACGGTTCCATATTATGAAGGTGTTGTCAACATATCTCAACCAGACTCGGGGTTTCTTGTGGGCTTCTTCAATGGCCAGAGTTTCAAACCACTCCATATATATGTTGGCTATTAGGAGTAGAAGCACAACGTCACAGATATTTAGCCATATGGAAACCACCACAGAACATTTTGAGGGCCCTAGAGAGCCATGAGCGACGTAGTCGTTGTGCCGGATCCATCTACACTGGAACCAGGAAAAGGAATGTAAGTTTCCAACATACCAACAAATCAGCAATAGCGTCACATGCATTCAGAGAAGAAACGAACGTCATAGAGAGGCTCCAAAAAGTACATATAATTCAACAAACATGAAAATGGAATCACCACTAATAAAATGTGGCTATCTGCACTGAACTGTACTAGTCTACTATAGAGTTTTCAATTCAAATGACGAGAAAGTTTACATGCACTTTGTAGTTTTAAAATGTTTGAAAAATACAGAGACTTCTGTATTTTATGTACGGAAATGTGTTCGTAGAACACTTTATTGTAACATTAGATCTCTTCTGGGATTCGTCTCTTTCCATACCACAATGAACTGATGAACTGAAACGGTAAAATTGATGGAGTCATTTTAAAAAAGACGAAACATTGTATGTAAACGAGAAACCGGCGAATTCGATAAGCGAAGACCAAAAAAAATGCATAAAATCTCTATCAATCCATAATTTTTCCCAAATTTTTGTTGAAACTATTTCTATAAAAATCCAGTTGATAATATTCAAAAATTTTCAAAATAACTTTATTGTTCCTTGAAACACACAACTGCCATTTTTTTTTTCTATTTATAGGAACTTCATACTTGTTTTCTTAATTAATACTTTCATAATCTTCATTTACTTTTGCTCATTATTCCAGAAACAAAGTAGGAATCGAAGTAATATCCAGGTTTACTGTTACTGATGATTTCGACAATAAAAATACATTCTACACGGATTCTAATGGCAGGGAAATGATAAAGAGAATGAAAAATCATAGGTCAGATTACAAGTACGATCACAAATATGAACCAGTAGCTAGTAACTATTACCCGGTTACTTCCAAACTGGTAATTAAAGATGAGCATAAAAATATTGAAGTCGCAATTCTCAATGATAGATCGCAAGGAGGGTCTAGTTTGGGCAAAAATAATTTGGAGTTAATGGTGAGTTTCGAAAATACAATCTGCAATGCAATCTGTTAGAAGGAGGAATAAGAGAATTTGAATTGGAGGAATATATTTGAAGGTTTCTCACAAACATTTCAAATTTCTTGATTGCCAATAACTTTCATTCTGAAAATGTTTGTTTCTCTTTTTTCTACGTATATTTTGCCTGACTTCAACTTGGAAGTTATCTTTAACATGTATTTTATTAATCGATTATATTTTTTCAAGGTCCACAGACGAGTTTTATTCGATGACAATAAAGGTGTCAATGAGTATTTGAGTGAAGTAGAGTTTGGGAAAGGAGTCTATGCTAGAGGTTCCCACTATCTGATAGTGGGAAATGCCATAAAGCCTAACTTGAATGGTAAGACAAAAAGTTCAGGATGAATTGAACAAAGTCTCACTCAGGATTTAGTTACATAGCCCTTCGTCCAGCAGCAGCAAAAGATCGCCGCCTGTTTTATGCATATCGCAATGGAAAATGTATCAGTCAGGTTGTGGCTAGCAATCAGTTTTATAAGGTACCTGAAGCAGTGGCTAATTTTCTTCAACTTGAAAATGCCAATCCATATACAGGTCATTCATTTCGAAGATCGTCTGCAGTTGAATCTGTGGGAGACTTGATGACACTAAAGAAACATGGAGGTTGGAAGTCATCAACGGTCGCTGAAGGTTATGTTGATGAATCGGTAGTACACAGGACAGAAATAGCTAATAAAGTGTTTAGAACGTTTGGCAGTGCTGAAATAACACCCACACCCGATTTGCGACCAGGTATATCAACGGTAGTTGTGTCCATGGCAGAAAAAAATATAATTTCAACACAAGAAAATTCGACTGTTGTACCGAATAGTTCAAGGAAAAAGTACTCACTTATTTCCCGGGGAAAAAAGTAATTTCATAAAAAGTGACATTTTGTTACCTGTCATCAGAGATAAAATGTCCAACTTTTTTCACGGAAAAAAAGTATTTTGGATCTATTTCACGTCGAAGGTTTCAGTTCTACCTTTTACATTCATTATACTTTGTTGAATTCTTCAAATAATAATTTTTAAATGTCATACTCAGTTCATGATTACAAACGCTGAAATCCTTAGACAAGAAAATCCCAATGAAAATTCTCAGGGGAGAAAACCAAATTGCATGTTGAAATGAAATCAAATCAAACAAAAGCACGTCACGTAATTATCATATTCGATGCCTTCACGTGTTAGACCGCGTGTCAATCGTCTAGGTTATGTAAGTTTCTAATTTCGATGGGGGTTACGGTCTGCAGTCACCCTCTGTGAAACAAAAGCCAAATGGATTCCGCGGGCTATCATTAAACATACATTAGTTGGTGTTTAACTCATTTTTTAGCCGTAAATCTGGTTGCCACACCCAAGTTCAACCGGGTGCGTTTATACTGATAGTTATTTTGTTTGCAGACCAAATGGCTTGGGAATCGGGGTGCTAATTGTCTGTATAGAAGGAAATCTGTGAAACCATGAGAAGAGAAAACTTGATGGAGCTGGCAATTAGTGAGCCTTGTTTTGTTTTCTTTTTTGTGAAGAGGTTATAAATCCTTAAAAAACGTGATTTAATATACTGATACTCAACCCAGATTTTCAAATTATGTAGTTTAATTTATTTTTTATTTCTTAATGATATGACAAAGTCTTGAATTTAGGGGGTTTAGATAAGTTACAATAGCTAACTTATTTTAGATGAAAAACTACTAGCTGTTTCATATACCAAACTTTTACTCTCACTTTATCTTTTACGTTTACATTAAGAAAGTTGTCAATGGGAGCGTTCATACACTAAACTTTTCTACTACATGAATAAGAAATCCTTTTTTTTGTCAACAGTTTCGAGCAAAGTCTGTCTCTATTTCAAAAATTTCTCTTGATATTCTATGTGACTTTTGAAGCAATCCAATAAATGATTTGAAAAAAAAACTTATAGAAAATAATCTATATAGCTATGGAATTGAAAATGACGTATACATTCTCTTGTATACAAATCTATTCAAACCCGCCAGATCTGACGAAGTTAATAAGGTTTATGCAGCTAGTTGCTAGTTATCAGAGAACATTTGTGCTCTTCCTTCAATGCACTGCCATACCAACAAAAACTCTTGTTTTTACACAGGTATTTGTTACAAACCTCAGGTCAATCTCATGCAACCGCAGAAATTGAAGAGAATTAAATGCGGGGCTATTAATGCGGTAAACATCATCAGACTGATGATGTCTGCCGTAGTAGCAGACGAAACGTCTCGGTTACAAGTTCCATTCTACCACGGCCTACCAGCCGAGATTGTGTTCCCTTCCGCTGTGAAAGCCTATGGTCTTCTACCGTAGAAATTATTTGAATTCCCGATGAGCTGATCATTTTCACTGGTCTTTAAAGACCAGTGCCAATTGGCACTGTATTCAATTGGAATTATTAATTTTCTATCACCAGAAATCCATATTCATGTGGAGGGAGTTTTGAGAGTCCAGTGAAAGGTTTCACATCAGAAAAATAGGATATTGGCTGTCTTTTCTGCGTCCGTATCACTTTTAAAGGCGAATTTATGTGAGAAGAATGGGGGTAATTAACCCTCCCTTATCAACATCAAAATTCAATACTGAAATGGAACTGCAATCTCTGATGTAGAATGAATCCAAACAAGTATTGTTCCCAAATACTAGAACTGCAACAATAGTCTTGATGCACGTTTCACCACGTTTAGGAGATGAAGTATTCTTATTCAGGACTCTGAAACTGGTCTCTATTTATTTCTAAGAGGGTAGAGTTTACCTTTGAGACTTAATTCCGCTAAGACATTCGCGGGAAATTTGCTCGTTCTCGTGAAAGTTCCTGCTAATTTTGACAGAGCGATTCATACAAAGATTGAAAATCAACTGTTTATAGTTTTCATGCCCCATTTCGCTATGTTCAGCCTCCCGAAAGCACCCTCCCGATTTCAACAATTTCAGGCAGTTTTCATTCACGCTATGGCCGTTCTCCGAAGCGTTATGCGCGACACTATATTTTTTTGGTCTCTGAAATCGGATATGTTTTAGGAATCACACGTTAAAAGGTGAGACCTCGTTAGTCCTCAGCTCGCACAAGTTTCTCAACTTCTGAGAGGTGTCGTTCGTATGGGGGCGACAGCTGCTCAACGAAAAAACAGATTTTAAACAGATGTTCTTTGAAACGAGTTTCAATAGCTCGCTCAGTATGACCGATGTATGTTTCACAGTCCTCATGGCACATTTCATATATCTCCGACCTTTCATTTTCCAACAATTTGTCGTCAAGGTTACCTTGAAGTATTTAGTACGCTACTTTTTCGTTCACCTTCTCGGATATTTGATTTAAATCTTTTGGTGTATTATGGTTCATACTTTATGTTAATGAACTTTGAATTAATGTCTTCACTCAGCAGCGTGTAGCATGTAGCGGTTTTGTAAACTATTGAGTGAAAATCTCACAAGATTGTTGGTACTTGAATATAAAATGTTTTTTGTACAACTGTCATTAAAAGTGACATTTTTAATGATTGTCAAGAGTATTAAATGATGAATTGAAGGAGTTATATTTTCTGGAGTGATTAATTTTTGGGAAAGAAAGTTTTTGGCTTTCTACTACTCCATCTTGATACAAAAAAATGTGGGAATCTTCCAAAGAAAGGAAGGAAGTAATCAATTTGAACATAAGTAACTCTTGTTACAGTATAGATAAATGCCATTTTTCATCAAATTTCTAAGTTTTTTTCTTGATGGCCAATTTTGTGAAATTGAGCTTTAATTGTGGATCTTTGAAACATGACTACAGAAATTCACAATTCCGATTGCAATAGGAAGAACACACAAAAACTGTGGCCAAATTCACAATCTACAATTTATTTTAGATTAGGAAGCTTACCTGAACTCGCTAAACGACTGCTTGTAGGTCCAAACATTTGATATGGATCTGAAACAATAGAGTTGATTGACGGATTGCGTTATTTGGAAATTTTATAACGGCAAATTGGGAATTAATGACATAAAACTTCTTTCATGAGACCTAATTGGTTTTTCGAATTAAAGAGGGAATATCTGAATATTGTTCAAGAAATTAGCGGTATTTTTAGAGCTATCGCACGCCAGAACTTCATCGATTTCAATCAGAATTTACATATCCCTTGGGAAACGAAATGAACCGTTTGAAAATAAAAAAATCAAATGTTCAACAGCAAAAATTCTGAAGATACCTGCAATCCGTATTAGACAATGGAAAACTCAAATTTGAAAACTCACTTATAAAATTTATTTTTATTATCACTCTGACAGGGTTACAAAACTGGAAAAAAATAAAATTATTGAAATAATAATATTCGTGGAAGAGTTCTCGGCTTTCATCGTTCGAAGAGAGAATGAAAAACGAATTGAAGGAATCTATCTATTATTAGAACTTCTTTGACGCAAAAATCAAATTTGAAAGGGAACGAGAGACCCAAGGAATAATTGCCTTCTTGAATGTACCAGCGAGAAAAGTGTGCTATAACATTGGGTCATAGAGTAAAAAGGAAACCAACATACACAAGCAGATGAAAACTTCAATCACCAACGACAAATGGAAGGAGTGATTAAAACCTATATTGATAGAGTCTGGTTGTTTACCTAAGAGTCTACTCGAGGAATTTAATCATCCGAATAATGCTTTCGAGGGAAATAAGTACAGCAAACCTGAGTGAGCGTGGAAGAAAAGTGGAAGATAGTTACAAAACTATTGTGCCGCTACACAAAGTTAATGGTGATCTACTGTTTGAAGAGACCATCAGCTAAAAGGAAAATGCAGCATGAATGTATGTAAAAACATATTCCATCAGAGATTAAAAAAAGCTGATAGACCATCAATGGTACCAAGGAATTTTATTTCTTTGGGTCAATATACTTGCGTTTCCGAGTTTCTATTGCCCCTCTATATGTTCTTGGATGGTAATTTTGGGTTTTGTCGAGTATTTCTGTATCTTGGAATGATATAATGTGTGTGTCTCCTTTGTAGAGAGCATATTCGGCTATAGCTGATTGGTTGGTTGGTTTGTCCGAGGCGACAATTTCTCTTCAGTGTTCAGAGAGACGTGTACCTAAACTTCTTTCCGTAGTTCCAATGTACACCGACCCACAGCCCAGGGTGTTGCTAAAGGCTCTCTGGGGTCCTCAGCTGACCTTCGACTCTCTCTGATAGTTTTCGTTGGCCTAAATATTGGTTTCCCGATTCGGTCTGTAACATTTTTAGTTTCGACACAGTGACAAAGCCCCGATTGGGGCAATCATCACGAGATGGAGTTGTTACTAGTTAACAATCTAGCCGGGAAACTAGTTGTTTTCTGACAGACGTTTACCAGAGCCTCATGTGTAGGTAGAGAGACTAATATTTCCAAATTCATTTCGAAATATCCATTTTCTTGTATTGAAACCTATCCTCTGTGGATTGATTGATAGAGACGTTATTCAAAAACCAAATAATGAAAGGAACTTTACTCAACATGAAATAATCCACGAATGAAGTAGAATCCTGCACTCAGGGCCGTAGCGAAAAGAAAAACCAGGGGGGGAGGGAATCCAAATTTCCGAACCCCACCAGCAAAATTTCCCAACTTTTGAAAAAATGAAAGCCGAGGAATTAGTTACTACTATAATATATTAATTTTCTTACCTAGCTATCCAAAGATTGGCTAAATGCTTATGCCCGTTAGGGTATGCACAAACAAAAATACATTTTGGTAATTATAAAAATAATAATGGGAATTATTCTAATTTGGACCAAGGTCCTTGGTCTTCCACCATATCCATGTATAGGAATATTCAATACAAATGAAAGGAAACAACACTCAAATAATATTGTGCTTATTGTTTTCTATTATTATTTTTCCTATCTTCACGACCCGAAATTTCCCAACTTTTCCAAGTCGAATAAACAGCGAAACGTTGAGAATTTTGTAAAATTTTCACTTCAAAATTTGTGGACTGTTAGTTATTAAGGACCTTTTTAAATAAGAAGATACATTTAATGTATGTAATGTATTTATGAATGTTGATTTAACTTCCAAGTTTTTGTTATCGTATTACCCTACGTTTTGTACATCGTGATTTGAAAGAATAGATTGGAGTTTACCGGAATATTAAAATTGATTTCCACTTGGAGTTGATTTCAATGAACTCTTCTTAGTGAATATATTACAATGTCAACAATAAAAAGAGACGGTTTGCATATGATACTATTCAAAGCATAATGAGTGTTTCAACGATTCTCAAGACAATTAGAATCAAGGTATTATTTACAAACTAACACAATACTAGTAATTCATTTGATGAATTAATTGATGATTTTGATGACACCCATTACCTGAGGTAGCTAATGATATATAAATGGGCCTAACTTATCTTAAATCTCCTGTTAAAGCTAACTTGGTTAGCGAAATGTGTGTAAAGGATCAGTGCTTTGTTCTCGTGTGGAAAAAATGATGACTTTAATAGTTTTCAATTTGATAATGTTTGAATATTCAGTAACCAACGATAATCTGTTCTATGACAATAGACGAAAATATTGTTTTTTTCTACGAAGAACAGGGCGAATAATTGTCACCCATCGCCCGCAGGCAATAGGGGTGAAATCCCCAGTGCCTAATAAGAAGACGATCAAAGCCAGATTCAATAATTACCTGATTATGGCCCTGTTCTGATTCAATGATTGTCACATTACCCCAAACATTGCTCCCTTGTGTTTGTTTCTTGTGCGTCATTATGAGAAACGTAAAGGGAGAACAATTGAATTTTCTTTCAGTTTCGGTCTTTCGTTCATTCTATTTATTATTATCATCTATGGCGAAGGGAGAGGAAAATGTGTCATTAGACGGACAATTGCATTGCAATTACATACACCATCAAAGTTTTCTATGTTTTGTGAGAAAAATGTAAAAAAAGTCTGTATATGGACAAATTTGATTGTAGGTTTTGTGATGAAGCTTCTAAATATTTTTGGATGATCAAAAGTTCTGGATGACTATCCACTTACAAATAATTTCAAAGAAAGGAAAGGAAATGATAGTTTATTTTTTACAAATAAAATGGCTTATTTAATAGCTTGCATTTTTCAAAATTTCATAATTGACGTGTACCATATCCCAGTGGTTTTTTCATGCTGTATGTCCCATGGATATGCTATATAACAAAGTTTTTGTTGAGGTATTGTGGTAATAATATCGAAAAATGTTTCAGCACTGACGTGTTTTGAAACAATGTTTGTGTTTTACATTGAGGTGTTTTATTCACCCCAGGAGTTGGTGAAAATCAAAGAAAATGTCCAACACGATTTGAAACTTGTTAAACTGCAAACCTAAGGACTTGAGTCGTGGTACAGTACTTCGTACTCCCAAAAAATTTTGTTTCACAAAAATTGGGCAATATTGCCAACATGGAAAAAATTAAATTCTATTAAAATGTTGTGCTAGGTCAGTATACAATAACTTTTTCAAGCATATTCAATAGTCATGTGTAAGTGCGATATAAAACGCTTTTGAGACCTTTTTATCGAACAACACAAAATTGCACATGTTCCAAACTTCTTTACTATTACAGTTGAGGCAACTGAAAGACATAGACAAAGATACAAAATCTTGGTATCAAAGTAAAGGCCCAAAACAATCATAAATTAAGGTTAAGTAAAATACACACATAGAAAGAAGAAATGGGAAAATAATTCGACAACGACATTATACTAGAGAATGACTCATACTAAAACAATATATAAAATGTAGCACATGAGAAACATCTTAAAACACATTAAAACAACCTCGAGTTAAAATGCGTCATTATGAAATTCTTGTAAACCGTAATAGGGTTTATCCAACAGGAGAGCTTTTACTTCCTTTCTGAAATGTTCTACGGAACTTATATCTTTAATGTGTTTTGGTAAGTGATTGAACATCTTACCGCCTTCATAAATTACTAAATCTTCAATTACTGTCAGTGATGGGATCGGTAGCTTAATGTTGCCAGCTTGACGGGTGGCGGGACGTGTGTAAGTAGTGTCAAATTTATAAATATTTTGTTTTCAATTATATATACCTACCGTTTCCATAACAAAAATTGCATATAATGTTAACATTTTGTGTTTAATAAAAAGAGGTTTACAGGAATCTCGAATTCTTGCTTTGCACGCATATTTTACTGCACATTTCTGTAGTACAAAAACAGAGATTCATATCACACAACCCCAGAATGGGATTCCATATATCAAGTGGGATTCTACTAAGAAATGGTACACAACTTTGGCGAAAGAAAGACCAAGTTCATTCGATGGTACTCTGAATGCATAAAATTCATACGACAATTTTTTATTTAAATTCGAAACATGTTCATCGAACTTCAGTATACTTCCTATATGAACACCTAGAAATCCTGTATGTTTAGCTCTTCCTATAACATTCTCACCCATGACAAGCTCATCTAATTCACCTTTGAAAGACATAATATTAGTTTTTGCCATATTCATAGATAACTTTATTATTCCAGAGTATACTCGTGTCGTCCGCAAACAGCGTTATTTTTCGTGAAATATTTTTTTCTGGCCAAGTCATTTATGTAGAGTAAGAAGTGAGTTGGTCTGAGTATTGATCCCTGAGACACACCACATTCTACAGGTAACTCATCGGAGTATTTTGCCGTTTTAACAACTTGGCTTCGACCTGAGAGATATGATTCAAACCATTCCTGAGAGATACCCCTGGTGGTCTAGCGCCGTAGTGATAAAGCTTTAGCAACAGTATTATGTGGTTCATACTGTCAATGCCTTTGATGAATCACGGAATACCGCCGCAGTAGCTTCGCGTCGATTTATCTCGGTATAAACATCATACAAAAAAATTGCATCATTTGTATCTCTTCTAGCTCGAAAGCAAAACTGGGCATTTGTGATGATTTTCTTCT